TTGGAGACAGAATCTCCTTCTCTTGCCCCAGCTAGAGTGCAATGGCATCATCATAGCTCACCTGCAACCTCAAACTCCTGGGCTCAAGTGATCCTCCTGTCTTAGCCTCCTGAGTAGCTGGGACTACAGGTGCATGCCACCATGCCCGGCTAATTTTTTCAATTTTTGGTAGACACAGGGTCTTGCTCTTGCTCAGGCTGGTCTTGAACTGCTGACCTCAAGCGATTCTCCTGCCTTGGCCTCCCAGAGTGCTGGGATTATGGGTGTGAGCCACCGCGCCTGGCCAAGTGCCTTCTTTTAATATCTTATCACCTGTGCTATTGCTGGAAGCAATTATAAATTATGCATGGGCCCAGTCAGCAGAAATTCTTTAAGACAGTGGTTCTCAAAGTATGGTCTGAGGACCCCTGGGGTTCCGGGACACTCTTTGAGGGAATCCATGGTATCAAAATTATTTTATATCAATATTAAGATTCTATTTGTCTTTTTCGCTATCCTTCTCTCCCAAATGTTCAGTGGTATTTTCCAGAGGTCACAGCTTACGTGACTGCCTGACAGATTCAATGCAGGAGCAGCTGTGAGAACTCGGCTATATTCCATTAAGCCAGGCATTAAAGATTTGCAAAAATGTAAAACAATGACATCCTTCTCATTAAAGTCTTAGTTTTGAAAATTATCATTAGTTTTTCTTTAAAATATGCTATTTATACTAACACATAATTGATTTATCATTATTTCAAATGGATTAATATATTTTTAATTTCTCCTTTTAACTTTCTAATATGGCAACGATCAATAGATATGATCAACATTAACTCAAGCTCTTTGAGGGCCCCAATAATTTTTAAGAACATAGAGAAGTCCTGAAAGCAAAAAGCTGGAGAACTGCTTCTTTAAGATAATCACACCACTCTCCTGTATTTGATTTTCAAACTCTATTTCTGAAATCTGAATAGGGCAGTATTTGCAAATTCCTTCCAGAGACCAATGAGGACTGGCATCCCAAATGATAATAAGAACGCTAATTTCTGGACGCACTCTCTCTTCCACTTTGATCAAACCTATTGCAACTACCGGTTTCTAAAATGTCAGCTAAAAGCAGAGAGCCAGGAAAGCGCAAGTAGAATTGTCAGACTTCCCAGCACAGATGCTAAAGGCAGAGTGTCGGAGCTTCCGTCCTGCCTCCCCTGCTGACCAGCTGGAGAAGACCCTGATGGGGGCAACCCCATGGCAACACCCCCTTCTTTCTTGCTAGCAGAGCCTCAGTTTTGCCCCCGACGGAACTCAGGGGAGGTTGACCTTATACCCACTGCCAAGGGCAATGCCTATCTGGGTTAAGCCCACAACAGTGATGCCATTCTTTTGGCAGTAGATGTCCAGGAGTGGGCGTAGAACCCGGTTCTGGTGATGGAGACATTAGAAAAGGTCCGTCGTGGGGTTGTGGGAAAGTTCTTTACCCTCCTACACAGGGGGGACCAGAGGAGAGGTCTCTTCTATGACTCTGGACATTGCCAGGTGTACAAGTAATGCCAAGAACTGCGCCAGTCATCGGTGACCACAGTGGGGGCCAGGCAGGGGGCAAGACCAGCACATAGAAGAAGAGCTTTCAGAAAAGATGGAAATAAATTTGACAGATGACTTTGTTCCACTGTTGACTCAATTAGCTCAGAAACCTGTCATACCTCGGGTCTTCCTGGAATGTCAGGTAATAAATGCACCCGGTGTGGGCGGTTTCTGTCTACTATAGCTGAAAGCATCCTAACTGATTCTCTACTATGTGACATTAGGTAAATTAACCTGTGCCTTAGTTTCCTCTTATGGAAAGTAATAGTGCCTACTTCATAGAGTTATTATAAGGAATAAGTGTGTAAGACTTAGAAGCACTTTGAATGGTACCTGATACACAGTAAACCCTCAAGCAACGCTACCTATTATTGGTGCTGCAGCAGTGGTTCTTACTACTATCACTACTATGTTTCGAAATATCACAATTTTTTTCGTGTTTGGAGAAAGTGACTAAAGCATAGCAATAGCAACTAAGAAAGGCTAAGTTTAATTCAAAAACATCTTAATATTCAAAATAATGCTTTTCAATGAATCCCACTGAATTTTCAACTAACCTTCCACATAGTCATCACAGTAACAAGTAAACAAAAACATGTTATATATTCTGAGGTAGTGGTAAACCTTATCTCTCATTACATATACCTCACGCATGTACCATGTTCATCTGTCATGTGTCTGCCGGTTAAACATTCCCAAAATACACCTGTACCTCAACAGTACCCTCAGCCTAGGATTAAGTCTCCACACAATTCTACCTATCAAAGTCATATGGAATCAATTTCTCTTCTGTCTTCCTTTTCCTTCCCTTCCCTTCTCAGAGTGTTGACATGGCGGTCAATGATGTGGGGCGATGAGGAAGGCTGGGAGCCATGCAGAGACCAGCAGGTAGTGAAGGATGTAGGTCAGTGGGAGGAATGGGGGCAGCAGCACAGAGGTGGCAGGCAGAGGAGAGGACTTTGATGGTTGGGAGATTGGACACATTGAATGAGTAGGTTAATGTGCTAAAGATAATAAAAGTCAAGTTTTTTAGTTCCAGAAAAGATATTTACAAGCACAGAAAAGGAATAGACTAGAAAGTGCCTTGAGACAGTGGAATGGAATTGGAAGGACTGATATGAACATATAGTTTTCATAAATATACATCTGGGATAGATATATATTAATAAATAGCTATGAGTGCATATATGTGCATTTATATGTGTATATATATCATATATATGTGCATATCTTTGTACACATTTGTTTGTAGTTCTGTCCAACGAGAAGGCCTAGAAGAATGACACTCCAGTAGTAATGAGCACGCCAAATGCCCAGATGTTGGTTTCTAAATAACATCCCTCACTAAAAAGAACCAGGGTTCCTTGAAGAAATGGTTGATCCCAAGGCTGGAATAAAAGAATAAAATTATATAAAAGCCAAAGTACAAAGTGAGCCCGGAATATTTTGTTATGGCATACAGTGACGAAAGTCTCAAGAAATGATAGAGAAATGTAAAAATGATGAAGAAACTAGACTGAAGAGACTCCCACTGGCCTTATCTAGGATAATTTGAGCATCAAAAAAAATGATGAAAGTATCAGATTACAAATCATTGAATTAAATAGGAATCCAGCAATCCATACTGATATGAATGGATGAACAAACAAATAAATGAGAATAGGAAGCTCTAATAAACGTAGAAAAAGGCCGGGTGCGGTGGCTCACGCCTGTAATCCTAGCTCTCTGGGAGGCCGAGGTGGGCGGATTGTTTGAGCTCAGGAGTTCGAAACCAGCCT